CTTTTTCAGCTTTGATTCCGAGAATTCAGAATATTGATCTTCTTATTCCCAAAGACATTCTGGAATTTTCTGAATTCCTGGCACTGTAGAGGTATGTTTATTTCCTTTGTTTTTATAGATTATTTTTTTTAATCCATTCTTTCTCATATACATTTGTTTTCTTACTTGGATTAATATAGAAGCTTTTATTTTAAATGCCATTGTTGCACCTCTCATGTACAAAAGGTTCCATATCTTCCTTTTCCCACCCTGCTGAGTGCAAATTTAATCTTGTCAGACTGTCTGCCCAGTGGCATGGGCAGAAAGATGTCAGCTTTCACACATAGAATGCGAGGGGGTTGTGTGCTGCAGCTGGGGCTGCGTCTCCCTGGCTGCTCACACTGTGCTGTGGCTTCAGAGCCATACCATCACCCTGTGGGGACAGGTGGACACTGGGTGACCACTGGTTTGGGGTCACATACCAGCAGAGGCTGTAAAGATGCAACGCATCCTCAGGCAAGCTCCTGTGCTCCAAGGAGTCTGGTGGATGGCGCTTTTCCCAATTAGCTGATTGTGACATTAATAAAAGGCATAGTGTTTGGAAGGAGAATTGGAGGCTGTCAGATGTGTGTAAAGGGATGAGCCTTTATTTCCTTCTGTGATGCAAGGCTTCTCCAAATCTCCATAGAGCACATATGGATCAGGATAGCTTACTCACTGGCTGGGCAGCCCCACTAAGTCAAGACAAGACACACTGTAAGCAACTCCGCCTCTATCACATTGCATTTCAAAAGCTCCTTGGAGAGGCACAAATGAAGGAAGGATATCTTGGATGCTTTCTAGAATTGCAATTCTTCCTTTCTTACTTCTTTTTCTAGAAAGTGGTGAATTCTTTGTATGTTTTCTGATTTAGAGCACAGGTGGTGATTATCAGGCCATTAGGCTGGACAGTTTAATGAAAAAATTCTCTCTCCCCATATGTTTTTCCAAGAAGGAAAAAAACAAAAAACAAACAAACAAACAAAAAACACTAAGAATGAAACACTTGCAGTAATTACTTGCTTATTCAGATTAAATTGTAACTATTGAAACTGTGATATCAAAGGACCTCTGAAGGTTGCTATGCCCAAGCCCCACTCAACAAGGCCTAAATCTGAAGTTACAAAGAAAGTACTGCTCGACTTACTTACAAAATAATGCACTATTAAGTTACTGACTTCTAAATAATTACAACTTTTTCTACTAGTGGAGTTCTGGTGCACCTGGAGGTTCTTCAGTGCTTTTTTGTCATTTGATCGTCTTTGTAAATTGGGGGAATTATAGTGCAGAAAATAGTATCAAAGCTGTAGATTAATTAGTGGAAAGAAAGGTTATAGCCATAGGGCTCAAGAGTAGTGTTCTATTAAATAAACAAAAAGAAATGTGCAATTTTAGACACTTATAATGTGATTAATGCAGCATATTACTTGCCTACAGGATAAACATCCACAGAATGTAAAAAAAGTAAATGCACAATATCAAAACTTTGAAAATGAAGTGACTTCATTTGAAATAGATATCTATTATAGAAAATTTTCTGAAAGATTGACATGTAGAAATAATATCATTTTTAACGTCTAAAAATATATTGCTCTTTGTTAGGAAAGAGAATATTTCATTCTCTTTTAAATGTCTCTTTTTCTTTACCAGACCTGCAGTAAATGTGATAGGGGTAAAGTGTATTCCTCCCACAAGCCCGTCAGTTAAAGTCCCTATTTTCATGGTATTGGCCACAGTGGAGGTGCAGGGCAGTTGCCACAATGAGAGTTGCTTGGGCTTTGTCATGTTGACATGTGCAGAAGGTTGGGGCTGAGTCCGAGCATCTGGATGGAGTGTCGTCCTCCTTGGCCTCTGGGCTGGGTGACAACAGGGTGCAGGCTCTGGCCAGCAACTTTGGGGTCCTACTTATGGGAGCATTAATAGGACTCCCGTAACCAGCTCGCTTGTTTGCATGCAGTGGTCCTGCAATGATCTCTTCAGTGCTTCTAGGAGAGCCTGGAAAAGAAAAGCTGGTTTTGGAATTTGTGTCTTCAACAGCTCTTCCTGAGCTACTCTTTTGATCTTAGGAAGGAGGAGGAGGTAGGCAAAAGCAATGGGAAAACAGGCCAAATTCCTTTTTTTTCATCTACAGTGTTCCTGCTGGAACAGAAGTTGTCATTACTACATGTTTTTTTTTTGTTGTTGTTGGTTTTTTTTTTTTTTTTTTTTTTTTTTTTTTTCTAGCAGTGAGGAAGAACAGACAGTTTATGTTAGTGGACTGTGGAGGAGTAGAAGAATAGAATAAAAGGTGAGGTTTTTATATATACAGACATATACTTGTAAACATAAATTACTAGCAAAAGGGAAAAGGCTTAGACTTGAAAGCCAAATGCAGCATCTCAGCCACCAAAATTCACCTGTGGTCTCAGTAAATCCCATAATCCTGTTTGTCTTGAAGCCCCATCCGTAACATGTGACAAGTATTTCCTGCCTCACAGGAACATGATGTGGGGAAAGCTCATTCATGTGGCAGATACAAGTGTTGACATTGCATGGATGAGGATGACACAAATCCATGTAGAGAGAGTCCCATTGCTTTCAAGAGTGTTAGCTCTATATTCTAAACCTTTGTGAGGAAGCAAAACTGCTTGAATGAGGTGCCCTACTGCAAATAGAAAAACATGTACTGGATGATGGAAGAAGGCTAAAGAGAACTAATTTAAACTTGTGATCTTGTTAGGCTTTTTGGTAGGTGGTTTTCCTTAAAGTATTGCAAGCACACTCTTCCCTTCTCCTTGCAACTCCAAAATAGTGGCATAGTGATATGACAGAAGAAAAAAATGTCTTCCTGCATCACAGCTTCTATAGTTACAGCATTGCAGATTTCATGGCCTGTAATTTCTGAAATGTGTTGCAGAATCTTTGGTGGTTTTTTTTGTTTGTTTGTTTTTGTTTGTTTGTTTGTTTGTTTGTTTTTCCTTTTAAATCCCAGGAATCTGTTGCCCATCTCCTGGGAAATTTTTTGTTTTGCAAAGCTCAGCATAAGCTTGAGCCCTCTGCGTCTTTCTGAAAGCAAGATTTTCCTTTCAGTGAATGCTAGAGCTGTGTGCTATTCTGTACTGCCATGGGTGGGAGCTGGCTGTTTGGCTGGTAATAAGATACTCGTGTAAGGGTACGCAGCTACTGGTGCAAGGGCGGTAGAAAAAAGGTCAGTGGTCTCCGTCACTACTCCAGAAGGTCAGCTTTATTTACAGGAACAGCAGCAGGCTTCTTCAGCTGACTTATGTTAACCACCTTTTTCAATCCTTTCCTGAGTGAATAGGACTATTTAAAACTTCAATAGAAATCTGCATTCAAAGAAGACAACGAACTTTTTATTGCATAACTTAAAGATATCACTGATCTTTCTCCCTCCCCCACACCGACAGAGCTGTCAAATTGAAAACATTTGCAATGTGGAGCACAAGCCTACTCCTTTCAAACCTCGTCAAAATTAACTTGAGAATACTTTTAGAGGGAGAGAAATGCTGCAGAGAAACAGCTGCAGCATGCTTGTTCCTGCTTTCTTTTGGGGGACCCATGAAACTGTCTCAGTTTAGATCTCTGAAAGGTGGTAATTAGTTAAAAGTAAAACTGAGCACAGCTGGTTGTGAAACAACTCTTGGTTGGGCTGGTTTTTGTGGTCAATTGAGAGAGATAAGCAGGTTTGCGAGAGAGGTTTCTTTACTTCTGGTATGTAGTCCTGGAGTCCTCATAGTATGTGTGTCCTCAGAGAGGAGCCAAGTCAGAACAAAAGTTTCAGCCGTGATAACAGAACCATTGACCAATGTCCAGCTGCATTGGTCAACAGGTTACATATTCATGATTCAACTCCCCCACACAAGTTCCTAACAAGCTCTCAAGTAAGGGTTCAGAGGAACCTCGTGGACCAAGGAAAGGAATGAGACGTGTTAATCTAAATTAAACTATGAGAGAGAGAATATTCTGGACTCATTGCATCTCAGTTTAGGCACCAGCCCATGGTATAACTCCTCCAGGGACAGTCTTTTGCTCTAAACTACCTTATACAGCATTTTCTTTTCACACATACAGCATGCAGAGCCTAGTAAGAACCTCCATTCCTAAAGTAAGTGGTTCTGTGTATGCAGCAGCAGTGTTTCTCTTTAAGCAGAGAGTTTTAGTTGCCCAACATTGGGTGGGATGAGCCTTGGCTGAAAAGTCTGGGAATGTTCCTTGTCTTCTCCTCTTCCAAAAAGATCTCCAGCTGAGAGATGTCCCCCGTCTCGCTTGTTCATGAGCTAGCAACAGCGCAGTGGATGGTGTCTGCAGTTTCTATCACTGTCTTGTGATGATTTTCTGTAGATTGATCAGTAATGGTTGTGAGTGGTACAGCCAACTATGTTCAGGAGCAACTCAAAGGTAGAGGCAAAAGATTTTACTTTTCAAAGTACACCCTTGTTCATCTGTACTACATATGGTTTAAGTGAGAACTTGGCTCTTTTAAGCTCATAACAGTTTGATTTGGGCTTAGGAGAGGATGGCATCATGCATTTTCTAGCAATAGGCATTTGTCACAAAAGATCCCTCTTCTATGAATTAGGCTACGACATCTCTGAGAAATTATCTTCACTTTGGTATATGTAATGCTTCTAGGACCTTTTTCTTAGTAGTAACTGCAGGATTAACATTTAAGAATTTAAGACATATTCACATGGCTGGTAGCTCCATGAAAAAGTCCCGCTCTGCCAAAAACTGGGTGTATAGCACAGCTATTCTGTAATTTTCAAAGCCTCGCTTTGGTGAGTGGAGACTTGCCCAATACACATTACTAACTATATGTTGAGAGGGGGGAACAGTTCCAATTTCTCATTTACACTTTTCTCTTTCTCCCATTATTCTACATCTGTCCAGACTAGCGGGGAACCATTGGCAGGGCCGTAGGGGGTGGGAGTCCTGCATGAAAAGTTTGGCAGCCAATAGGACAATCATTCATTTCATTACAGGTTGCATTTTCAAGGACACTGTCTACAGCTCAGCAGTGACCTGGAACAAATTCTCCAGCATGAGGGGAAAAGAATGTTGCCCGAATGCCTTCCTAATGAGAGCAAAACAGAGGGAACCTGAGATAAATTCAGAACCTGAACTACAAAGCAGGAGAACCAACAGGGAAAGTGAAGCAACGGGAACTTGGCAAAAGGTGGCAGAAACCTTCCCCCAGTGCATTTGCTACACAAAGCTGTTGAAATATTGCTCCCTTTCTGGTGGTAATGCAGCAGCCTTTTTAATGATGGTTGCTGCAGATAATGTGGCAGCTGTAATGGAATATAACCCAGGCAGTGAACCAGAGAGAGCTCCAGACTTGCTGGAGACTAGGAGAGACAGGATAAGCACCAGAAATGACTGTGAGGGTAAGTGGCCAGCTGAAAAGAGCTGAAGGACATCCACTAATTAGACAGGTAGAAATTCATAACGCAAAATGGAAGTAAATAATGGACCCCAAAACATTGTAAGAAATCATTCCTAATGAAACTTACCAGGCCCCCAGGAAGTTTTGTGAATCGGAGTGTTCAGTGTCAATTAATTTAAGGAACAATGTAATATGTTATGACACAGAAGCCACCGACAAATTTTGAAATAATTGGGGTTATATCAACCAATAAACATTTTTTGGGAGGAAATGGTTGTCTTTTCTGGTCAGGTACAAGACTTACGCTTGTAAACTTATTTCCAGTCTCACACTTGCCAGCAGGTTTCTCTGGCACCATGGACAAGGTTTTCGGGCCCTTTTTCCACAGCCAGCCCAGTAGCGTCAGAGCTCCTTGAAAGCCAGAATATGTTTTTTGTAACTGTGTCACTGTTTTCCATGGCTTCGGATAGGAAACTGGCTGTACCATTGCACAGAAAAATTGTAGGAGGACTGGAAACTGGCTTGAAGCTTCAGGATCTTGTTTAGATGTTGCTCTTAGGAGCTTTTGTTCTTCAATCATTCTTACTATGTATAAAATGGAGTGAATATGCTCCAGCTCAGAAGATGTCAGAGAATTTTGTTACATTAATATGTATATACAAAAGTAGCAGAACTGAAAAAGTCATAAAATGTTCTGTTTGTTTTGAACTGCATTTGTTTTAACATCATTAGGAACATGGATATAATGCCACAATGCTTTTATACTTATAGAAAATTTGTGAATTTCACTTCAGCTGTTCCAGGTACCTTCAAATCTTGCATGCTCCATTTATTCTCAGATGTACATTCAATCCTCGGAGCTGAGAAGCTCTGAGGTCTGGCAGGGCTTTGAGGCACATAAGATATTCAGTAGCTCTTAGGATTGGACCCAGCATGAAAGAATATCAAAGGCAGTATATTTCCAATCAGGGACGATTTAATATGACTATTAGCCTTTGTTTATTTATTTATTTATTTATTTATTTATTTATTTATTTATTTATTTCCCCCCCATATAGAATGAGTTTTAGCAACACAGTCTGCATTCAAGCTGGAGGAATGGCTTGTGGGGTTAAAGTGCAGCATACGTGACCTTTGTCTGATGAACTTCGTTGGGAGTTTCTGTGACGTTGAACTCGCCCTTCTGCTCAATCCAAATACTGGTCATCATTTCCATAATGTGTAAATGTTCGTCTCGATGATGACATTTCATTCCTGCCTTATCCCAGCTCACGTTACTGCTTTGGGAGTATCTATTGTAACTCTTATCCTTCCGCACACTGTGCTGTCGTCACCACTGCTGTAGCTAATCCACTACTATTTGGCAAGAAAACTGTTTATCCATTCTGCGTTAGGGCAGATAGCTGAAGTAAAAGCTGGAGGAGGAGGCAACCAGCACATTTGTTCTGCAGCGCATTAACATGCTAGCTGAGCTAACATGTAGAAGCAGAGCAAGCGAGTCAGTTACTAGACTAATTTTGTCGTGGGGTTTGACGGCATACTCCCAGATATGCCACAAGGTTATGGGGATCAGCCAGAAAACACTTACACAGTATGTGCGTAGATTTCTGAACTATACTGCTCTTTTTCTATACCTTGGCTTGTAGAGAATCACTTGCCCTTGTTAATAACACTGAACTTCTTGAATCACTGTCTTAAAACAAGAATGGTGATGGCTCAGTGTCTCCTCTATTTCTTGCTGTATTTATGTTTGTTTTGGCTGCTAATGACTCGGACAGCAGCCTTTTCAACCACCATAAGCCCCAGCATCACGTAGGAAGAGAAGCACGCCAAAGGCCTTCCATCTGAGGAACAAATGCAAACAGTATTCACCCCACACTCTTCCTTTTTTAGTGTTTTTGTTCTCACATCTTTAAAAGTTTCTTTATTTCATTAAGTATTCATACTAGGGAAGAAAAACACAAATCAAGTCAAAACAAAAACCAATTGCTTTATCCTCCCTCAGGAAAAAGAGAAAAGAAAATCAGCAAGGCAAGCAATCTTAAAAACCTTAATCTTTAATTAATCTTAATAAAAATCTCCAAAAACTTAATTAACAATTCCAAAAGAATGAACTAAATCTTGTTACAACTCATATTACCATTCACTTCTTTAAACACATCACTTCTATTTATTGTCCCCAACTAGGGGTTGCTCACTATAGTCCTTGAGTTCTTGCTCTGATATGTCCACTAAGCTCTTCCAACAAATAAAGTTTTATTTGAAAATATCCTTGTCTGTGTTCAGTACTTGTGCATTCATCGCCTTTTGGAAAAGGTTTTCCCTCTTGATCAGGCAGAGTCTCTTTTGTCCAGCTCTACCTGCTGAGGGGAACGATTCTTTCTCTTCTGTCTTCCAAGCAGCTCCCTAGTGCTGTACTATTTCCCTTCCACCTGTGCTTTTCTTGTTCAACATGAAAAAACAAAGGTAAGAAAACCCCAAAACTAAAATGACACCAAGCGCTGGTAAAAGCGCTGCTTATGTTTGAAAATTTAAGAGTGAATACCCCTGCAGCTTTAATTCTGCCACCTCATCCATATGCTTGACAGTAACCTTCATGTGCTTGTGCACCCACACAGTTTTCCCTGCCCTCCTCGCCGGAATCATGTCCTGTCCTGTCCCCAGCGTTTTCTCCCAGCACTCTGCTCGGCCCTGCTGCAGTGGAGCTGGCGTGCAGCCGTCCTGCTGAGCTGGTGTTTGAGAACCGGGAGTGACCAGTGACCAGCTGCATCCAGGAGGCACTGAAAGAAGCTAAACAGCAGGAAGAAGCTGCATTTTAGACAGCAGGAAAGGTTTTTTTTTTTTTTTTTTTTTTTTTTTTTTTGTCTTTAAGTGTGCCAAGGAAAGCTGAAACAATCACCCTTTTGGGGAGAATGCAGTCCTTACTTTTACTTTCAGCGGACCGTGCCTGTTTTTCCCTGTTACTGATGGGGAATGACGCAGAGAAACATGCTTAGTCAGAGGGAATGTCTAGAGATCTTACTAAAGCCTGAGCTTAATGTGGTCAACAGATGGTGATTTACTACAGCTCCTAACGTGATCCTTTCTGAATGAATATTCAGAAGGCTTGCAAGTGACTGCAGACCTCACAGGAGTTCCCTGCTAGATTCACGTTTCTGATACAAGTCATGGTAGGGTTTTTTTTCTCTTAAAAAGAAGATTCACCTTTTTCAAATGGTGGAAAATGCAAGGCATGGTCAAGATAAATAAACTTCAAAATTTTAATTTAAGCAAGATCTCAGATGCATATTGGGATTCAACAAGAGTATTAGGTTAATCTCAGCCTTCAGAACTTCTCTGTGACCACAATATGTTCTCTGTGGTCTTATATTTAATAACATTCTGCTTGTGAAATACAGATACAAGAAAGGAATGAATTATTCTGTTAATTCTTTTTTTTCTGATAGCAAATATTTCTGGGCTCTGTCACCTTATTTATGGAACTACTTGTTCTCTTGCATTTTTCAATCCTCCAATATATTTTTTGAATTCTTATTGTTAAGTCTTATTACTCCTAGCTATTTGTGCTTCATTATTCCTTTATGCACCTCAAGTACCATCGTTACATTCGTTTAATTTTTCTTTTTAGAAGTAACAATGCTGTAGTTTCATGCTCCCTGTAATTTTTAGAGCTCCATTTTTACTTGCAATTAATGTAACCAACTTGTCACTCAGACTTATTGGTTTTGAAATTCTGTGCTTAATTTTGCATAATGGTACACACTCCCCCTGAGCCACCTTCATCACGTCTTTAAAGTTTAGCCAGATTTTAATAACTTATCAGCATACCACTAATAAGCTTTGCCAGTTTATTTTTCTTGTATTTCTCAGATTACAGTTTATTTTACTCAGATTTCTAGCTGTACTCCCTCCAAAAGTTGATACTAAGAACATATTAAATGGTAAAAAAGTGGTTCCTAGCAGTCCCTAGCTCTAACTTCATTTCTGCTGTTTAAAACATTTTTAAAGCTTTCCTTTGCTTTCTGTTGTCTGCAGCTCAGACTGCTGTGAAAGCAGAGCTTCTGCAGGACTTGAAGAAGTACTCCTCATGCGATGCTTGAATACTCTGTTCTTCTGAGGTAAATTTAATTTATCTAGGTGTGTTATTTCTAAACTCACGACAGTTGCTAGTTCTGCAGTTGTCACTGAGGCTGCTTCCATCACTCAAGCAGCCTGGTAAACCATTTCCTCTGAAGAAATGTGGAGACTGAACCATTGCAGCATAAGTGTCCACTGTGAAAGTGGTTATGATAGTCAAAACCAGCTGAAGATATGCCCTGGGGTTAGTTTAGAGTTCAACTCACTGGCCTGAAGAGAGGCCAGTCCTCCTCCACTCCCTTCTGACAAGTTCCAAAATAAATTTAGTTTTTGTTAAACAAGATAGATTTGGAGGTTTTCTTTTCAAGTTGGGACTATGCAGAATCAGCTTGGACTGTACTTCTCATGTCCTCTCCTTTAGTTTAAAGACTATTCCTTTCCTTCCAACTTGCTGCCTAACAAATATATTCAGGGACTAATCATGCTCCCTCTCAGTTTCTTTTTTTGCAGAGCTATGTAAGACAAATTCTCTTCAGCCTCCTCTTGAAAGGTAAGGTTTCCAGTTCTGCTTTTCACAGAATCATTCTTCTGTTTGACTATTTATTTCTTGTAAGTGAGTAACCAGAACTACACACAGAATTGCCGAGGAGAAATATGTGTCATATGTCTTATCTGATGCACTGTTAAATCACATTTGCCTCTTTCATGGCTGCTTGATCCATGGTGGCGCACTGTCATCTCTTCATCGATCCTGTGATTACAGCCTGCTCTGCCTCTGCTGCCAGTTCCAAACAATTAACTTCTTCTTCAGGGTTCTTAAGTTTATCACTTTATGCTCTTATTATCATATTTCAGCCTGTTTTAGAACCCTCTAGTTTTTCCTGAAGATGCTTCAATCACATCAGTATTAGTGAGAGTCAGGACTTGGCCTTTTCAGCAGATGTCATCATCTCTTGCCTATTTTTTGTTCCAAACTCATTATAAAAAATGTTGGTCTCAGGATTAAGTCTGGGGGTACTCCATTACACTTTCTCTGGCTTGGAGAACAACTCATAGTATCCCCTTTAACCATCTTCCTACACGTAATATTTCTGCATCAGTCTCCATTTTAACAATTTTTCCTTGTGGCATGTCACCAAATGCTTTTTTAAAATCTATGTAGGTAAGGTCTACCGTTTTTTATTTCTCAAGAAA